GATTTACAAATTAATTTGTGACAAAAATTCACTCTGAAAGCTTCTACATTTAAAGTAGTATGTCTAACTAATGCACGATTTATTTCTGGCATTCCCATCTGTTCTTAGTCTATTTTTATTAGGAATAAGATTCTAATCACTGCCACGAGCGCCCTTTTTTGATCACAGGGCAAATGTGAATTTTTGAGGAAGGCCAGGCCTTTTGCCATATCATATTTTTTGGTGAGATTGTCGATGAAGCAAACATAGTCGATTGTTATAGCAAATATATGTTTGCTTCATTGACAATCCCACAAAGGAATATGATATGTCAAAAAGGCTTGGCCTTCCTTAAAAATGCACACTTGCCCTGTAACCCAAAAAAGGGCGCTCATGGCAGTGTAGCCGAGTAGTTAACGTGCCAAGCTCCCATCCTGCAATGTCGCGGTTCGACTCCCGCTGAGGGTGTTGATAAGACCGAAGCGAGGTCGAAACTGCAGTCCAACTTTGATAAAAACAACTTTTGGCAATGCAAGGCTATGTGAAATTCAATGGAAACGTCAGCTCAACTCATATCATTGTGGGAAAATTCTTCTTCTACCAGTCCTTCATAACGAAATTGGGTGATTACATCTCATATTACTGATTTACTGGTAGTCTTGAAACAATACTTAATGCGAAAATTATAAATTAGTTGTCGCTTATTTAGTGAAGTCTTGCTAGGGAAAAGCAAACATTTTTTGAAATACAATTTATTATTCCTATTAAATTAGGGGATTCACAGTTTAAATAATATACTTTAATCAGATGTATCGATCACTTAATACATTATCATTTCTATAATTATTAACAATAAAACGTTTATTTAAATTGCTTTTGGTTAAATACTCTCAGTACACCTTTATTTAAAACTGTTTTCACCCTAAGTCTCATATTACTTCGTTTGATTACGAATTTCGTTTATTAATTTACTAATATACCCATAAAGCTCAACTATGAGACAAAATTATCTAGCTATTGTGTGATATATCTTTAATGTGAGATGTGTTCACCCTATTTCATTAAAGGTGATAAGGAACTGGTAGTAGGATTTTCCCAAAAGTTGTTCTCATCCACGCTGGACCTCACATACCACAAAGAAAGTAATATGGGAAAAGGTCTGGTCTTCCTTGAAATTGACGCCTGCCCTGTGACCCAAGAGAACTAGTGGCAATGTGGCCGAGTGGTAAACGTGTCAAGCTCACATGCTGCACTGTCACGGTTTGGCTCTCGCTAGGAGTTTGATAAGACCTATGTAAGGTCAAAACTGCAGTCTACTCTGGATAAGAACAATTTTTGGGAAAGCAAGGCTATGTTAAATTCAATGGAATTGTCAGCTCTACTCATATAATTAAGGGAAAATTTAACTAACAGTCCTTCATCACCTTAAACGATATTGGGTGAATACATCTCATATGACTGATTTACTGATAGTCTCGAAACTCTACTTACATACGAAAATGAAATTGTATCTTGCAAGACTTCCTTTTCTTCAACACATACCCTTATTGGTTTTATTTTTCTTTACTCTTAGATGATGGAAGTGATTATGTCTTCTACGCACTTATGGCTGGGGAAGATTCAATCACTGATATTGTTGGACTTTGCGCATTTCGACTTTCACAGGCGGATGCTGCTTTAAACAAGGATGCTTTGCTTACATGGAAAACTGATCCTGGAAGTCTGGGTAACATTCGCGATATTAACGATAAGAAGCAGAGTCGTCCTAGAACCAGGCAACAGCTTGTCTCAGTTAAAAGCTCAGTTAAGAAATTTTTGACAGAGAGTGCAAATAGTCAACATGTAAGAACCTTAGAACATGGCTACTCAACAAATCATAGTTCGGACATAGCCCGTATAAAGCGAGAAGCAGCACCTATAATTCCTCGTTTTCCTGACCCAAAGGGTTCGCCAAGCCTTTCAAACAGTTATTTACTTCCAGCCCATGACTGCAAGCAACCTGATGCGGGTGAAATCTGCTACAACGTCTCTGCCAAAGACATCCTTGATCGAAATAAGACAGGTGCTTATAGCGACGCTGATGTGAGGATGCGTATTAGAATGACCAAGCAGCGCTCGCCTACATGGGTTGCAGACGATGAGCGATTTTCTGATAACTCAAAAAAACTA